GCTTAATTAGTGACTGAAGTGGTCAAAATAGTAAACTCCATCTCATAGGAAAAAAACCAAGCAGTTGGAGAAGAAGGAATACTTCTTGTTCACCTTCATCAAAGCTGCCAGTAGCCTGGCCTTTTTAAGATGTGCTATCTGAATATTAGGGTATTAGAAGAAATAAATCTGGTTTTGATTATTCCCTACAGTTCCACAATGTGTGTTTGTGTACTTACATAGTAAGGGTCAATATTGAAGTAGTAAAAGAATGTGGATCTGATTGAAAGGACCCAACTGAACAGCCAGAAGTCCTCAGCTTGCCTAAAGTTTTCCTGTGCTGGATGCTGTTGTAGACTCGTGTTTGTGGCTCTGGCCTGCCCCTCTCCTTGCTCTCCTGTTAGTCCTGCAGGGGACAAGGCTTGGGAGGTTGAGTCACTTCCGCAGCCGTTGGCTGCCCTGGGAATAGTTTAATTGTGTTTGGAGTGCACAGACAGGGCTCTGGTAGTATCCACTGAGGGCAACTGTGACTTGCTGTGTTTATTTTGAGGGTTTTCCAGGAGATGAAAGTGTATTAAGTGAATGTGTTGTAAATGAAGCGAGGGAGTTTATTCTGTGTGTGAGCATAGCAAAGTGGTGATGATTTCCTGGTTATGTGATGGGGTTCTGGATGCTTGCTTGTGCCTTGCCTTGGGAATTGCGATTGCTCGGGAGAGGGGTTGCATCCAACTGGGTAAACAGCAGGAACACCATGGGGTGGGGTTGTAGCATAACACCTCCCCCTTGTTTACAGGCACATTCTGAGCCTGCAGACGGGAAAAACGGAGGCAGAGAGAAGCTTGGCTGGAAAACAGGCTGTGGCCACCTAACATCCCTGTGGATTTGGCACTGAGTGTCAATGCAGGACAGCTGAGGGACAACTCTGTACCCTGATCAGAGCTCAGCCAGCAAAAGGCTCCCTGTGGGCGTGTTTTGGTGCTCCTGAGAGCTTCTGAGTTGTGCTGGACCGCTCCTGCATTGGCTGGGTTTCACTGGCTTCCAAATGTGTGTGTACAGGAGGAAGAAAGCGTGTTTTAAGAATGTGGATGTGTACGTGTTATGACAGCTTTAACTCTGGGGGGTGGTGGCTGGGACAGGCAAAAGCAAAACTGTTCCTTAAGGCTACCTTAAATTACTTTCTCCTTCCTGGATGTGAATCATCTGATAAACTTGAGCTCTTTTAACATGTTGAGTCTTGTGTCCAATGGTACCTGTGTTTTTGAGGGGCTCTTCATGAGCTTGTGAGTTTTCTGCCATCCTGTATGGAGTTTCAGTGTGTGAAGGCAGCTGTTTTTCCCAGAAGGGGAAGCCAGATTTTAGTCCCCACCACGATGGGTAGAGAATGAAAAATCTCATAAAACCCTGCTGATTTACCTGTCAGTACTCCAGTGGAAGAAGGCACCATTTCAAACCACTTATGGTCGCTGTACCCCTTGAGAAGCATCTTCAGGTTGAAAAGCCTACAGAGAATTGAAATTACTCCATGGTGCAGCAAATAAGCAATAAACAACATCTGTCCTGTTTTTATAGGGAAGATCATGTGTCTGTGGAAATTTTTCAAGTCAGTGCCACTGATTCTTGTTTAAACAAAGAAACAATCCAAAATGAAAGCCCTAGGCCTGGAACTGCTTTCTAACCACTGCCTCACCTTTTGGGAGAGCAGCTATGTTGTGGAAGGAGTTGGCAACTCCTAACTCCTTCCCAGAGCTGCTGCGTGGAATGCCTGCATCCTGAATTCTTCCCTTGCTTTTGTTACCTGCAAATTCAAGTGGCTGGACTGAGGGAGGCTTACTGCAGTAAGCAGGAACTGGACTGGAAAACAGCTGAGTTTTTGGTGGTGTGGGAGCTGGAGGAAGCAATGCCTTGCTGGAGCGCTGGCTCCCTTCAGGACAGAAATGTTGTGACTACTCGATTTTAAAAATAGAAATGCTCAAGTTTAATCTCATCAGTGCAGATTTTGAACATGTACAGTTTCATTTTACTTTCTGTCCTTCTGATGCTGTGGTTGTCACAGGGAAGACGTGTTTCAAGTGCTGCAGCTATTGATTTCATTGCCAAAAAGTAGCTTGAACTTCTATTTTCATTTCTCTGTTGATATGTTGGCTAGTGGAAACTAACCCGATCCCACTGTGATGTTTCTATTCTTAGCAGGATGTTATCATTTGAAGCCCTGTATTATTGTTTAAAGGCTGGAAATGTTTGCTTTTCTGGAATTTGGGTCTTGTCTTATAGTGTTTCTGTGTTTAGAAACAGCAGCAGGAGAAAGGAGACAAGGAGGTGCAGAACTAAAACTTGGGGCTTCTGTGGTAAACTCAATTGTTGGCCTGTGGCAGTGGGTCCCTGCCTCAGTTTCCCTGTGTCTAGTGATCCCTACTTCAGAGGTACTTTGTGAGGATTAATTAATGGTCACAGAGGCCTTTGAAGATGAGAAAAGCAGGAGCTGAAGTAGGAAAAGTTTCCATGCCCCAGGTAAATGTTCTGTGCGCTCTCTTGAGTTCAGCTTTTTCGGAATCTCTAGAGCGCGTCCAAATATTTTGAAGGGCTGATTTCAGTCTGGCCGTGGTGGTGGCTGCTCTGGGGAGGCACTGAGTGGTGCAGCTGTGCTTCCAGGAGTTAGTTCCTCACACATTCCCCCAAGGAAAGGAATGACACCCGTGGCCTCGGCATTGTGGAGCACTCAGAGGGATATAGGTGGCAGGCGCGTCCTGAAGACGGTGCCACTGCACAGCAGGTGAGAGCTTTGGGTCAGTTCTGTGGTAAGAACAAGCTGTGAGGGCGTAACTTCTATTCCTGAGCAGCCTAAATTTTTCTGATTTGATTCAGGTTTCTGCAAATCTGCAGCAGGCTTGATGGAAATAGGTGAAAAAGCTCTGTTGAAAGGCCCTGTGGACAAGTAACCACTCACCCGGGAGTGAGGAGGCCTAAGCCAGGCCAGCCCAAGTGCTTCCCCTGGGAGCACCAAGGTTTAGGTGGCTCCTTTCCTGCAGTTGCTGGGAAGTGCATCAAGAGCTGAGGCTGGATATTAAAGCTGCTGTGAGTGTAGATGTGCCAGTGCTGCGTTTGAAGCTGAAACAAGCTATTGAGGCAGTGCGTGGTGTGAGCAGGACTCCTGAAACTTTTCCCTTCTTCTGGAAACATTGCCTTGCCAGCCTAAGGCAGTACAGCCTGTGGAATCCACATCATGAAACCCACTCCCCTGTCAGCAGATGACTGGATAAAATTACAACTTTGGAGGAAATTTGGTGTTCTTGCCTTTACAAGGGAGTTGTGACGTCCGCGTGGGGCTGAGCGGCGCGTGGGCTTCTGCCGGTGGGAAGGGCTTGTTGTGGCTTCCCAGCCCGGCTCCAGCTCTGTGAGTCAACTGCCTGAAACACACTTCCTGATTTAGTGCTGGGTCGGGCTGCATCTGCCACTGCCAGAGCTGCACTTCCCTGTAAAAATAGAAGGGCATAATTTGCTAGAAACGGCGGATGTGGGAGTGAAGGGAGCAAAGCGTCCTTGGAATCGCAGGAATTTCTCTTGAAAGACCGGGAATTGGCTGTGACAAATAGTGGGGGTGATGCAGCATCTTCCCCGTTTCATGGCCTTTTTATGTCTGAGGAAAATGGAATCTTTGGTGGTTTCTCTGTCCCCTCTCACTTCTGCATTAATATTAAGAGATTCTCAGAGGCTCTTAACAGGGAAAGGCAGGTGCTGCCTGTTGGCTTGGAGCGTTTTAAAACCTGGGGAGAAATGGCTAATTCTGTTATGGGATGTAGCTGAAAATGAAATATCACACTTGACCCAGACCTTGATGATTGTGTGCATTGTTGGCCACCTGGCAGAACTCTGTAAAAATTGCTTTTTCTCACTGATTGCTCAAAGATTTGAGGAAGAAGACCTGCGACAAGAAGGCTTCCTAAATCTGTCACGTGAAACAGATTATGAGCATAATAGGAGAAAAGAATTATTACTTATTTGGTTAAGTAATAGGAGAGTTTCTGAACGAATAAGGTAATTGAAGTAATGTTTGCAGTGATGTTTATAACCAGGCTTTCCAAGAAAAACCTTGTCCTATAAAGGTTTTGTCTCAGAGAAGCTGTCCCTGAACTGTGTCTCGAGGAGTGTGTGACCATGCATGCAGTTAACTGGCTTCTCATATGGTGAACTGCATAAATGCATGGAATTCTGATAATTTATTGCCAAAATTGCAGCTATTTCCATAGCACGTGACGACCAGCAGCCTGCATTTATCCTAATTACTTTTCCTTTTGGATGCCTGCCTGCCTTCCACATGAGACTGTTTCCTGCTGTCTTAGGGTGCCTGTGCTGGATTTGGGTGCAGTGGGAATTCCTGCCCAGAGTTTGTCAGAAGAGACTACTTATTTAGGGAGTTTCCTTGTGCCTTATTCCCAATCCCTCATCCCTTACACCCCACTAACAAAAATTTCTGTTCAGCCCTTAGAGAGATGGTAAAGAATTGCCCAAGTGTTTTATATAAAGAAGGGAGATCTGGGTAATATTTGTAGTGAAAATTGTGCTGTCTGGGTTTCACGTCTTTCCACTTGGAATTCAGAACTCAGTTTGCCTTGTCTGACAGAAATCTTTTCTCAGCTCATACACAGAAACATTCACAAATATTGGCTCATCTGACAGTTCTCTGCAAATATTTGATTTTGCACGTCATGTTTCTGACACGTTAGGGGTTCATGTGCCATCCGGGCTCACTGCCATCGTTTAAAATTCAGATGTCTAAACTTTTCTTCTGAGCCAGTCCATGTTTTTCAAACCAAATCATAGGTAAGAAAATGGTTTAAAACAAGGCAAAATACCTGCTACTTTTGCATCCCAGTTTTTGTTAAATACCCTGTTTCAATGTGAAAATGTGTGAGTGGGGAGAGGATTTAATGTCAGTCTTGTCCTTACGTGGGACTCGTCTGCTCGTTTCTTTTTTTCACTTCCCATTCCAAAAGGCCTCCAAATATTTCCTCTCTCTTTTGCAGTGGTAGTCGCTCTTCCAAAACCTTCAAACCAAAGAAGAATATTCCAGAGGGGTCTCACCAGTACGAACTGCTAAAACATGCCGAGGCCACGCTGGGAAGCGGCAATCTCCGGATGGCTGTGATGCTTCCAGAGGGGGAAGACTTAAATGAATGGGTTGCAGTTAACAGTGAGTCGCTGACCTTTTTTTTCCATGAGGAGGGTGTTGGATGTGGGCTGACACTTGTGGGAGGACAACTGTGTGCTTCTTCCTGTGCCTGGAGAAGGGGAGGCTCGGGGGGTGGACCTTCTCGCTCTCTCTGACTCCCTGACAGGAGGGGAGAGCCGGGTGGGGGTCGGGCTCTGCTCCCAGGGAACAAGGGACAGGATGAGAGGAGGCGGCCTCAAGGTTCAGGTTGGACATCAGGAAGAATTTCTTCGTGGAAAGGGTTGTCGAGCATTGGAAGGGGCTGCCCAAGGGAGGTGGTGGAGTCCCCATCCCTGTCCAAGGAATGACTGGATGTTGGTCTGGTTGGACTCGATGATTGTGGAGGTCTTTTCCAACCGAAGTGATTCTATGATTCTAATGGGCTTTGCAGTTTTCATCAAGTTACTTCATTTTGTTTCTACCAAGTTCTGAGCCTTTGGTCTAGTAAGTCTGATGTCATTATTTTAACTTCCTCTAAAGCTGGCTGTCCAACCTCTGCGCTTTCACGTTGGACCATTATGCCCAAATTAATGTTTTCTGATTGCTTGACTGTGTTTCCTCCTCCTTCCTCTCCCTGCTGCATGAGTTTTTCCCTCTACTCCTCAAGAATGGATTATCCCATGTCCCATCATGCTCTGTGGCCTGTGCAGTTCTGGCTGCCACAGACCCTGTCCGGGTGTTCCCTCATCTTTTGTCTCTGAGGCTTGGTGTGCTCCCGTGGTGGTGTGGGATTAACTGTGCACTGCAGTAGAAATCATGCTCGAGATAAATGTCCTCTGATTGTTTCTGTGGTTCTGCCTATTTCTTCTTGCTCTTTACACATTTGGGAAGTGAAACTGTCCTACTGACTTGAACCTTCCTGTTCCTAATTAGCCACGCAGTGCTCTAGTGCTCCACTTGCCACTGCTTCCAGGGCCGTGCTGGAATTGTTGACACCATCCTTTGTAAGAGTTTGTTCACACTACATTGCAAAACTGTCTAGAGAAAAAGCCAGCCCACTTTTATGAGCAAGCATTGCTAAAGATGCTTCATGTGTTGCTGGCATCCTTCCCTTTCGGTGGTTCCTTCACTCCGTGTCTCTGCTTTCCCGTGCGGCAGCAGCAGTTTTTCCTTTCCCAAGTGACTTAACTGCTGAATTAACTCAAATGAAATTATAGCTGTATAATTAAAGAGTGAACTGATGATGTGCTCCTTTCCTTGACAGCATCCCTCCACCACAGCAAGCCCCAAGAGCGTGGTAGCTGTGAGCCCCTTCTGCTCACTGGGATGTCTCATAAGGAAATGAAATGTGTGACTTGGTGTCCTTGGTTTACCCTGCACAACCCTGAGAGCACAAAAACAAACGTGCTCTGCTCTTCCCCTTCTTGCTCAACCCTCAGCCCGACCGATGTCTTTGGGGAAGAGTTGACGGGCGTGGGGGTTTTGAGACTTCCAAGTGTGGGATTTGCCACAATCAGTCATTTTGCCGGAGCCTGTGTGGGTTTTCTGGACACGCCTGCCTTGAAGCAAACGCTGGGCCGTGGTTTCTGCTGGGAACAGGGAATGGAAACTTAATTAACAGTTCTTGTGTGCACTTAGGAAGCAAGGGCTCGTGTCCTGCTTCTGCTGAGCAGTAGCTGTAACTTCCTGCCGTGATGTTTTTGTAATCTTTCACGTTGATTCTCTGAAAGATACCTGGAGATAAAGTGGATTTTATAAACTGGTTGCAGTGGCCACAGTTCCTCAGAACAGAACCTGCTGTTGGTTATTGTAGAACCCTCCTTTCAAAGAGTTTGGAGTAATAAAGCACCAAAGTAGTAAGAACAATGGGGATATTTAGGTGTGCCAACTTTTGGGTGTTTTATTTCAGTAATTCAGCTGTAGGCCACAAAAAAAAAAAAAAAAAAAACAACAACCAAACCGAAAAGGTTTTGGCTAAGGGAAATGCTTTTCCCAACATGTAACAAAACTTAAAAAGTAGCACTCCAGAACAAAGCTCCCAAGGCTAGTTTATAATGAGGAAACATTGTGGACTAAATATTGATTTGTGGTAATTAGTTGATATTCTAAGGACAGGAGTTGTTTGGTGCTGTAGCTCTTCCTGTGCCATGACCTCTGTATCCAACTCCCATGCATGTAACTAAAAGACAGTAGGGTTAGATAGGATATTGGGAAGAAATCCTTCCCTGTGAGGGTGGGGAGGCCCTGACACAGGTTGCCCAGAGAAGCTGTGGCTGCCCCATCCCTGGAAGTGTCCAAGGCCAGGTTGGACGGGGCTTGGAGCAATGTGGGATAGTGGAAGATGTCCCTGCCTATGGCAGGGGGGTGGAACGAGGTGATCCTTGAGATCCCTTCCCATCCGGACCAGTCTAGGATTCTCTGAAATGTTCCTGGAAAAGGTGGGCATTTGGAATAAAAAGCCTCAGGGAAGCCTAATGAGTCACCTAATGAAGAAAGCTGGAAAGTTTACACTGAAAATCTTTGTTTTATTCCACACTGGCCAGTAGAGTTTGGGATTCTGATAAAACACACCAAAGATTCAGAAAAGGAGGTAACTCTGCTTTCTCCTTCCTTTTTCTCCTTCCAACTGAAGATTTTGCTGCAGTGAACAATTACATAGTTGTTGGAGGCTGTTCCAGAAAGTTGGTGGTTGCGTTCTGCATCTCTTTTATAATGGATCTTAAAAAAAGCAATAACAGTGAAGTTTGTCCCACCATAAACATGCCAGGATCTCTGCTTTACAGTCTGGGCTGTAGGAATGTTGTGTTGCAGAGTGTTAATGGGTGGTTTTGATGCTTTTCAGCTGTCGACTTCTTCAACCAGATCAATATGCTTTATGGGACCATCACGGACTTCTGCACGGAGGAGAGCTGCCCTGTGATGTCTGCTGGCCCAAAGTAAGAGCCTTTTGGCTTACCAGAATCTTCCTTGTAGGTATTGTGCAAATATTAGATGTCTGGATAAGAATCCCCCACCCTGTGCCTCGCTTAAGTTTTGCTTCTTGGATTCTTGCCTATGCTTTTGTGCAGACATCCAATGTCTGTGCTTTTTTTCTGCTCTCCAGATGCTTTAGTGTCTTCCAAGGAGGAAAATACCTGCATTTCTGAGTGAGTGGTGAGGGAGGGCTCTGCTTCCTTTTGAATTACTGTGAAACCCTAAATAAACAGTAAAGAAAAGCAAACCTCTCCTCCGCTTCCAGAAAGGGATATTTTCCAGTGAGGAAAATGAGCCATGATTGGGTTTTCTGTTTATAGATGGCCAGTAACTTGGGGTTTTAGTGTTAGAAAATTCCTTCCTCTGAAAAATGTGTGGTGGTAGTGGGGGGTGAGGAGGGAAGGTTCTCATTGCTGGATGTTCTTTGGATGAGATTTTCAGCATGGAATTCTCTTTGTTGTCTTGCTCTGGCTCCAGTCTCATCCTGGAACCTCAGGATTGTCCTGCATTTATACCACTTCAGTCTTGATATTAGGGCAGTGCTGGGTGGCTAGGGATCCTGATTTTTCACAAATCCAGACACATGGCCCATTTGGCACGCCTGGGATTTTTGCATGTGTTCTGAGATACAAAATCAAAATGCTTTCAGGCCCTCTGATTTGTTGCTGTTGGAAAACTGGGATCATTTTATCCCGTTGCGAGCAGCACCGTCACAATCCCTCATCCAATTTTTTTATGGTGAAATTGTTCTCCCAGTTGGTGTTCTGACAAAACTGAATTTGTTAAACAAAATGAGAAGGCAGATTTATCAGATGCTGTTAAGCTTTGCATACAACCATGTGTGTGATTTTAAAAAATAGAAACGCTTGAAAGCTGGTGTTGTCAGGCTCCCCTCGTTATTGTGTTTGGGTGTTTTAAGTGATTATGTTTCCAAATTATCCACCTTCTCCCGTGTCTGGACTGGTGTCAGAGGAGTTCCCCAAGCCAGGCAAAATAGCTGTTCCATTCTGAATTTCACGAGGGCATGTTTCTCTCTGGATGTGTGCGTAGTCTAGAAGCTTTCTTAATCACGGGATCGGAATCCCAGACTGGTCTGGGTTGGAAAGGACCTTAAAGTCCATCTTGTTCCTGCCGTGGGTAGTGACACCTTCCATTAGACCAGTTTGAGGGGAGGGAGCAGCCTCCCAGGCCTTGGCAGGCATGATTCCTTAGTGCTAAGGAATGTCTTGTCCCTCCCCAGGTACGAGTACCACTGGGCAGATGGGACCAACATCAAGAAACCCATCAAGTGCTCTGCGCCAAAGTACATCGATTACCTGATGACCTGGGTCCAGGATCAGCTGGATGACGAAACGCTATTTCCTTCCAAAATAGGTAGAGTAAACAACCAGAGCTGAACAGTGGCTCTGGGTTGCAGTTGTACAGGAGTAGTCAAGTCTCAGGGCAATAAAAGGTCTCCTTAGTGACTGACGCGTAGGGCCAGTGTAAAAGCTTATATTATCTGTATAAACACACTTATCTCTCGAGATAAAATGGATGGGGCAGTGCATGAACTCTGATCCCTCTATCAATACTCCTAATAAACATCTCTCACCGTTCTGAATGCAGGAAGTGCTGTTTCTACTCAATAACTGACTCCAATCAAATCTGATGGGTTTTTTTTCCAGTTTGAACAGTGAGTTGTTTCTTTAGAAATAGAGGATCTCAAACCCTATAACCAGTAATTGGTACAAACTGGCAACTTTTTGACACAGGAGGGGTGTTTGGCATTCAGGAGGAATTTCTGGGCCTTACCTCCAAAGAAGCTGAATTGCACCTTTGATCTTAATGATTTTTTTCTTTTTTTTTTTTCAAGTGAAGATGAAAAATAGATGTTTTAAAGAGGTTTCTTTTCTTTTGGAAAAGTAGGAGGAAAATAGTGACCAACCACCAATTCAGAAACATTAACAAGGGAGATCTCTTAATTGCTTTAATTTTGTGAATAGTTTCTGAAGCTTTTGGCATGTTTTCATTAACCTTCTTCAGAGAAACAGGGCTGCCTTCAGAGAGAGAGAGAGAGACTTAAAGGCCACAAGCTAAGCAGCTAAATATGAACTTCCCATGTGCTGCAGCAGCCAGAGGAGGAAATGAGATGGACATGTGCACAGGGCAGGCAGGAGTATGAAAACATTGCTGGGGTCTGAAAGCATTGGTGAGGTTCTGATTGGCCTTACAGCATCCAGAGCTTGGGCCTCTGGCCTTCAGACAGGACCTCAGCACTTGGAAAAGCAGCAAAAGACCTAAGCTGACTGGGGAAACTGGTAGGTGAGGAGAAGCTAGACAGGTTTAGTCTTTTTAGGTGGTTGATGCATATCTTTTTTTAGCCTGGGGATGTGTCAACTAAAGAGATTGGTTCGGAAACAGCAACTGGCTACTGGGAGCAACAATTTTAATAGAACCTGTGCAGTGACAAAGGTCTGCTGTTGAAACTGCTTTTACCTGTCTTGGGTCATTTTCCCTGGAATGACTGAAAGGAGTGTGTCCCAGAATACTGAAGCAGGCAGTTCAGAAAGCAGTATCCTGTGGCCAAGGGTTTGGGAAGAGCAGGACGGAAACGGGAGTCTTTTCGCTGGGCAGGAGGCAAGTGGAAGAGAGCCTATTTCTGATTCCACTTTGGTCAAGAGAAGTGTAATATTCCGTGGCTGATGCCAAAAGTGGTTTCAGTTACCTACTCCCAGGTACCTGGTGGAGCTTGTCCTTGTGCCTCAGCCCAAGCCCACTGTGATTTAGGGGCGGAATTGCCGAGCGGAACCAAACAGCCTTTCTTGTGCAAGAGGGAGGGTTGGGTTATCCTGGCTTTTCAGATTACACAAGCGTTGAAAGATAAGCCACCTGTTTCCTCGTTTCCAGGCGTCCCGTTCCCAAAGAACTTCATGTCAGTGGCCAAGACAATTCTAAAGCGTCTCTTCAGAGTCTACGCTCACATCTATCACCAGCACTTTGATCCCGTGATCCAGCTGCAGGAGGAGGCACACCTTAACACTTCTTTCAAGCACTTTATATTTTTTGTTCAGGTAAGGAGACTGCAAACAGTGCTCTTGCCTCAAAGCTACATTACTCCCTTTCCCTTGTGGGGAAAAAAAAGAGCATTTTCTTACTTTTCCTTCCTTTAAATGGGGAGAAGACCTTCAGGCAGTGGCACGTGGGCAGGAAAAGGCTGTAGTGGCTAAGCCTGGAATAAGAGAGCCTACTGCCAAATGAATTCTGGCTGAGTGAGGCTTCTCACCTGAGCTGCACGTGCAAAACTCTGTGTGTGTGTCTTTCTCCTCATCCTTGTTGCAGGAATTCAACCTTATTGATAGAAGAGAACTTGCACCACTTCAAGAACTGATTGAAAAACTCACCTCGAAGGACAGATAAAAGGAAGAGGACTTCTTGAAGTCACTTGTTTCTTTAAGCAAGCGTGTGGTATTTGTTTTTTTGTTCATTTGGTTTTTTTTTAAAAAAAGAAAACAAAAACAAGCCCCTGTGCTGTCACCAGTGACAGCCGAGATCTACTTTCTGTGCTTTTACTAGGGGAAATCTTTTCTCTGTTAGTGACACGTGGTAAATAGCTTTTTTTTTTATTTTTATTTTATTGTTACTCATTGTGGAATTTCTAGCAGGTGCTGAGTGTTTATAAAGGAAATGTGCTTGGTTGGGGGATTGACTCTGCTGGTGGATGGGTTCTTGTGTTGTGTCAGTGGTAGCCCATTCTCATGAAGTCCCTAAAAGACTTGCTTACATTCTCTAAGTGCCTTGGCAGACTCACTTCTGAGGTGCAAAGCACATACAATACTGAACATTGCTGGAAACAGAAGATATGTACTAACACCCAGACACTTACTGATACTTGTTCTAGAAAAATATATGTATGCTTACACTAAAAAAAAAAAAAAAAAGCCATAACTTGCTGAAATCAATGATCTCCAGCTTTTAATACAAATACTTGTCTTATTTTTTTAGAGATGAATATGGAATTTTTCAAAACTAGATAATTTCTTACAAAGAAAAGTGAAGTTCTAGTCGCTGCAGCGAAACGGCCAAGGAGGTGTCAAAATCACACACAGACCTTGTACTGAGCAAGTACCTCCACATCTGTTGCCATGGAACTTTTCCTGGTTGCTTTTGCTTTTTTAACAGGGAAGCACCAGTTGGGTCACTCAGCTTTTGTTAAGCTCCCGAGCAGTTGCCAAACGAACGTTTAGTTTGCACGAATGCAGTTAGGGGAAAAAACATCCGTTGTCAAAAATTGCACTGGGGTAATACTGAGGAAAACCTGGATGGAAAAATGGCTAGTGGAAAGGTCTTTTTAAGTTAGGAGTACAAAGCTCTGTGGCCTGTGTTTGTTGTGGTGGGAAATCTATCTCCGAGGGAAGCAAAGTTCATGGACCACTTTGGAGTTAGGTTAGCATAGAATCCCTACTGCTGAGCACAGATGAGGTATTTCAGAAGAAAAACGTGTAAAAGCGAGGCTTTGCTTGGAGATACCAGTGCAGTAATTCACATTTTTGGCATACTCCTGCCCTGGGAGGGTTTTATTCTTCTTGTTGTTGCAGTTTTTTTGCTTTTTACTAGCCAGTTTTTTAGAAATCCAGAGGCATCTGCTGCAGTTCAGCCAATCAGAATTGGAATGTACTAAGGAAAAAAAAAAAAGAGTCTTTGGTGGATAGTGTATTTTTTGTATTTAATATCTGGCAGTAGAGAGACTTTGAGTAGTTTCTAGGCACGTAATAAAAGCTTGGAGATCATGATTTGCCCGACAGCTGTATGAACACATTGTTTAATTACACAACACTTGAAAATAACACCATTGAAGGTATGTTTGCAGTGGTGGGGATTTAGTATCCCCGTGCTGTTTCTATTTGCAGCTTTTCATTGGTTTTATTTTTTTTTTTTTGTTCACTTGTAAAAGCTGTGGGACCAGAAGTTGAGGTGTGTTTACGCTCTCGAAGTCAGGGCACATGGAAATGCCACACAAAATGGAATCTGGATCAGGTGAATGTGTTTATAAAATAGTGCATTTATGGAGGGAGAGGGGGGGACACCCCCTCGCCTCCCAAACAAACCCCAGAGAAACAAACCCCGACGGACTCTGAGGGACCCCGAGCCCCTGGAGACGGAAACTTCCAGCTTTGTGGTCATTGGGAGCGGGAAGTGCCGGTGGGGTTAAACCAGGCTGTGCTGCCAGCGCTGCCTGAGGCCTTCCAGTCTGACAGGGTCAGAAATCCCATGGTTTGGGGTGGTTTGCAGCTCTGTTGGACCTCATGAGGGATTCGGGTGGTGCCTTGAGGAGGGGGCACCTGCTTGGAGCTGGGAAGGGGCGGATGGCCGAATCCTTGGAGCTTAGCCACCCCGGCAGTGCTGACAGTGCTCAGGTGATGGATCCGGGATGTCTTGTCCAAGTCTTTCAAGTCAGGGATACAAGGTAACCGTGCAAAGAAGAAACAAACCCATTGTGTTGTGCTGGTGCTGGGAGCTGAGGGCAGAGAACGGGTTCCAAGGCCTGTCTGCAAGTATCCAGTTTCTTTTCCTGCTTACTATGCAATGTAGAGCTTTGAACTTCTGCTTTTCCTTGGAGATACTGAGGAGCACTGTCCTTACTCAGTCCTTAGGACCTGAACCCTGTCCCCGTGTCCCTGGCCCTCAGTTAACAGGTAAGGACACCTATTTGCTGCTATGGACTCGACTCACCTTTCAGATTGTTCCTTTCTGTTTCCTGCCCCTGCCCCCTTTCTCCCGGATCACCAGACACAGTTTTACTATCAACACCTCCTTTTGGGATAGTTGTTTTTTCCTTGCTCCCCCCTGCCTACCTGCCACAGTGCAGTTACTGTACATAACCCCCCTTTTAGTTGGATTATTTAAGAAGCTGCAGCACAAACACAGATTCCTTGCTTTTTTTTCCCCACTAAAATATTCCCTTTTATGCCGAATCTCGTTTCCCTCACTGCTGATGGCAGTTGTCTCTTTTCCAACCTGCACTCCTAAAACCACTGGCAGTTTCATGGGATGCCTGTTATCTTTCCCTGGATATCGTTTCTTTTAACATGAGACTAACATTGGTGATTTTCAGTGTTAAACCTTCTTATTTTCCTGCTTTTCTTACCGTTTCCCCTTACCAGGTTCAGTTTGCAGCCTATAGGAAAATAACCAATTAAGTTGGGTTTTTTTGTTGTTGTTGTTGGAAGAACCAATTCCCTAAATTGTTCATAGAGTAATGTATTTTTAGGGGAGATTAATTTTTTATAGCCACTAAACTATACTCATTATTTTTGTACGTTTGCAACTTGGGACATTTTTCCGAGCCGTGTCGTGGAGGGAACACTTATTTTCATGGCTATTTGACTGCTTGGGAATGCTGTGGTTGTGTTGTGTAGAGGCACATCACCTCAATGTGCAGTGGAAGAGAGAGAAGGATGCAATAAAGATGAATGAGGTTTCAATAAAAGGCCATTTCTGAAGGCAAAGAAAAAAAATAGTATATTCCAAAAGCGACACTAACCTTTCCTCCTTTAGAATCCTAAAATATATGGGAGAAAATACAGTGTAAAGTAAAAAAAAAAAATGCAAGGAGAGAACCCTTACTGTGAGCTAACTGTGCCAATACCGCTTCAGTTTGTAGTCACTGATGGAGACTTTAGTTTTAAAGGAAAACAGCTTTTGATTAAAAAAAAAAAAAAAAAGAAGCTGAATGTCTGAAAATCCGCACCGTGTTTATTTGAGAGTTGTAAATAATGTATACAGATGGTTGTATGTGATGGGACAAAATATTTAAATCCTAGGGTTTTTTTTTTTTTCAATAAGAAACCGAAGGCTGTTTATAAGAGAAAATAAATAGCTATGTTTGACCATGACTGTCTTTATTTCCTTCTTGGACTTGTTTCTAAAGGATCTCCTACTCTCAAATAGATCTATTCCCCCCCCCCCCCCCGTATATTGTGAATGTCTTCCCATGACACACCCGAGGATGTCACCAGGTGTCCAACATCACTCGTGGTGCAGACTCCGCCCTTGGCCCTGCCCAGTAGCACAGGTGTCTTTTTATTTTGGGGAGCTCTTCTTTCTCCTCAGAGCCTCCCGTGACCCCAACAGCTGCCGGGCTCCAGATTTCCCACTTCCCATCCACACCTGGCTCTGTCTCGTGGTAAGTCCGTTCTCATGCGCACTTGGTGGAAAGGTGGTGAAAAATCTGGATTTTGCCACAATTTTTCAGCACAGATCTTGGGTCAAGGCTGTCCCACTGCCTATGCCCAATCCATAGATCTGAGGGGTTTTCCCTGTTTAACTCGATCCTCCAAGAATCAAAAGGGTCCTGTAGTGGGATGGTATTATGGGAAACATGGGTTTGTTGGTGGCTGTTTGGGGGGTTTAGGGTTTTTGTAGAATCTTAGAATTCTGGAATGGTTTGGGTTGGAAGGGACCTTCAAGATCACCTCATTCCAACCCCCTGCCATGGGCAGGGACACCTTCCACTATCCCAGGTTGCTCCAAGCCCCGTCCAACCTGACCCTGGACACTTCCAGGGATGGGGCAGCCACAGTTTCTCTGGGCAACCTGTGCCAGGGCCTCCCCACCCTCACAAGGAAGGGTTTCTTCCTAAAGTAAAAAATCCCTTCCTAAAGTAATTCCTCCCTAAACTCAAGAGCTCCTTCCTAAATTTAAGAACTTCTTCCTAGTTGTTTTCAGCAACGGCCCTCTCAATTCAAGTGCCAGTGCTCTCCTTTTAAAAACCCAGCCACTTCTAAGGTATTCCTGGAGGATTTTTTACACAGGTCGTGGCGCGGCGGGGGGGTCCTTTCCCTCCCTTTTCTGTTGGTTTTGCGCTGTGTGTCGGGACGAAGGGAACCGCTGAGAACGGGAGCAGCTCGTGGCAGGAGTCATCGATGCGCTCCTCGTGCCGCTGCTCTTGCCTGGGTCGGTGGGTGGGCGGACGGGCGGGAGGGCGGGGTCGGCCGCGGCGCGCGGGCGTGACGTCACGGGCCGCCCCGGCGGGCCCGCCGCTGCCGCGCGCCAAATTTGAAGGCGCGCGCGGGCAGGCGCGGGCTGGTCTCGCGCCCCTCCTCGTGTCCCCCCAACCTCCTCGCGCCCTCCCTCGCGCCCCTTCAGGCGGGTCTCGCGCCCACCCCCCGCCTTCTCCCCTCAGGTGCCCTCGCGCTCCCTCGGGCCGCCATGGCCACCCCGCCCAAGCGCGGGCGGCACGACCGCCGCGTCAAGAAGGTCGCCGTGGAGGGCAACATCGGTGAGTCGGGGCCGTCACCGCTTTCGCGGGGAGCGGGGGAGTTTCGGGGGGGATAAAGAGGTGGCTCTCGCGGCGCTCGGGGGGTTCGGGCGTGGCTGGGGGCGGCACAGCTCTGCGGACCCCACGCTCGCCTCTCCCTCTCCCCTCTCTCCCTTCTGCCGGGGCTCTTCCCGCCCTGGCGGGGTGGGGCGGCGGGGATGCTTCCACAGGGTTTTCCTGGCCGTTTCCCCGCAAAAAAACCCGCTTTTAGTCAGGTCAGGAGGCACAAACAAGCCAATGCGTGAGGTCAGAGACTTTACCGCGACACCGTAAGAATTCTACGAAACTGACGCGATTTGCGATTTTATTTACAGTTTGTAACTCATTCACCTGTTTGTCGTTGACATTTTTTTTTCCCGCACTTTTCCCGCTCGTGGTGTAAAACTCCCAGAGTCCCAGAATCTCCCGAGCGGGAAGGGTCCCACAGGGATCACCCAGTCCTGGCCCTGCGCGGGACACTCCCAAAATCCCACCAGGTGCCTGAGGGTGTCGTCCAAACCCATGTAGATGCAGATAGAGAACCACCCTGTTGCTCCATTAATTGATGATCTGTGGAATGAGATGGGCTCTGCTTCAAGTCCAAAGTGCTTGGGCGTGGGAGACTGATTTGTGGGGATGGGAAGCGGAATTGTGCAGTGGTAAAATAACACCCCTGTGGGTGGTTTCTCACTGACAATCTTCCTGAATGCTTTTCCTACAGCTTCAGGGAAATCCACCTTTGTGAATATTCTGAAACAAGCCAATGAGGAGTGGGAAGTGGTTCCCGAGCCCATAGCTAGATGGTGCAATGTCCACCAAAACTCTGGAAATGACTGTGAGGTAAAAGAGAAAAAAACCCCAAATGTTCCTCTAATTTCAGAAATCCAGTATATCCAACAGGCTGGGTGTTTTTGCGATAGCAACACTTCTGCTGATTCCTTTCACAATGTTTGAGTTCCTCTTTTCTAGTTTGTTTGGTGTATTATGGAATAAGTGTTACTCAACATAAGGATACAAGTTCTACAAGCGCAAAAAGCCTTTTCCCTGTATCAAAGCAAGGGATGGGAAAAAGTGAGGCAGAGTTACTTGTAGCAACTCTGAACTATCCACATGAGTGCAGAGGGTTGTTTCTGGTGTGTGAAGGTGTCCTCTGCCATATCTAGGAAATAATGAACCACTGCTAAATGGTTTATAGTGGTGTTTTTTCTCCCAGCTACCCGTAATTCCACTGGCAATCCAGCTGCTGCCTGGTGGCCACAGTCTGCTGTGCAAGTGGCTTTTGAGAGACTTTCTTTTGATTTGGCAAAAATACAGTGTATTTTGGTAAAATCAGTGTAAGCTTAACGGGGATGTGTTGCTCCTGACTTCTCCTCAGCTGCCTTCTCTCAGAGTTAGGCAGTTCATTCTCTGCTTATTTCTCATTTGAATCCAGGAGCTGACCACATCCCAGAGGAATGGTGGGAATGTGCTGCGGATGATGTACGAGAAGCCGGACAGGTGGGCTTTCACTTTCCAGACGTACGCGTGTCTCAGCAGGATCCGAGCTCAGCTCAGCGCCCTCGAGGGCAAACTCCAGGACGTGGAGAATCCTGTGATCTTCTTCGAGCGGTCTGTCTACAGCGACAGGTGTGTGGGGCCCAAGTCCTCAGGGGGAACATCACAATTCTGCCAAGTAAAATCACAGGATAGTTGTGGTGGAAATGTGTCCAGGTGGGTTTGGAATGTCTCCAGAGAGGGAGATAGAATCACAGAATCAGTCAGTTTGGAAAAGACCTCTGAGGTTATCAAGCCCAACCTATGACCCAACACCACCTTGTCAACTAGACCATGGCACTGAGTGCCACGTCCAATCTTTCCTTAAACACCTCCAGGGATGGTGACTGTACACCCTCCCTGGGCAGCCTGTTCCAGTGCTCTGCTGCCCTCCTTGGAAGGAAGTTCTTCCTCATGTTTTAGTTTATGGCCAATAAAAAATACACAAATAAATGCCCTGTACTGCATTTCTGGGTTCAGAAGGTGGGATGTGATAACTGAATCCCATCCCGTAGTTCTTAGGAGTTCCCTTTGCTCTAAGATACTGACAATAAAGAGTGTACAAACCAGTCCTTTCGTGGGTTATTCCTGGACACCTGAGCTGTAAATGTTCCTGGTCTGTGTGGACACAGTTACAGGAGGAGTATACCAACTGTTTAATTCCACTCCAAGTGTACATCAGAGATGCTACAGATTTACTACTCAGCTTCTTCTCTAGTTACTTCAGGCAAACCGAGGATTCCTGTGTCCAAGCCAGTTTGTGTTTCTATCGCTGTTTTGTGTTCCCAGGTACATCTTTGCAGCTAATTTATACGAGTCTGATTGCATGACAGAGACTGAGTGGACTATTTATCAAGACTGGCACAACTGGATGAATGAGCAGTTTGGTTCAAGGCTGGTGCTGGATGGGATCATTTATCTCAGAGCCACTCCTGAGGTGAGGGATACAAATGTGTGACTGCACAGAGAACGAGAGTCCATGTTCTGTGCCTTGCCCCTCAAGGGTAGAGTCCACCTCAGGCTGCAGTGTTGCCCTGAACACTGTAATACTTGAGCTGTGACTAAGACTAACTCTGGAAATACTTAAAAAAAAAAAAGTTCTTTCAAGCGCAGCCTGTGTATTTTAAAATCAACTGTGATGATAACGGTTCTGTAATTATAAAAAAGAACACATGATAACAGCAAACCAGAAAATACCACTGGAACAAACCAAGCAACCCCGGGAAAGTACAAAATAGCTCTAGGAAGAGCTATTTTGCAGGGAATATAGCTGTACAGGGAAAAGAACAATTTATGTTCTTTTAGTAATTAACCAGTCACAGCTGGTTTGGGGGTGGCTATGAAGCCCCTACACCTGCGGCAGTGGAGCTAAGCCAGGTGAAAGCACTTCCTGTGCGTGGGGCCTTATGACTATGCTTTGATCTTGGGGCATCTGGTGTTTGTTTAAAAGGAGAGAATGCCATCATGAATATCTCTCTTGAGTATGAAACCTGCATGAACAGGGGAAAATGTGAGTTTAGAAGAGCTCTAATTAGCCTACAGATCACATCCATATTCCCTTGCTTCCAGTTTCCATGCTTTCAGCTTTGTTATGGTTGTAAACACTCCACAGTGTAGCACACTGGAGTAACTCGAGGGCTTTTTGGTTTTTCTATTTAAGAAAAGACCATGTATTTAAATTACAAAGTACAATACTTTAACAGTTTTGGCTTGTTGTTGATGCTTTGGATGTGCTCAGGATGGGAACAAATGATTTACTGCATTGGAAAACAGTTCCTAAGAGCCAGAAATATATGGTGAGATTTGGAAATGCCTGTCTGTAATGTCAAATGGATATTTCTGTGCTCTTGGCATGCAATACACCAATTTATTTATTTTTATTATCTTTTGCCTTTAGAAATGCTTGAATAGGATTTTCGTGCGAGGAAGAGATGAGGAACAAGAAATCCCCATTGAGTATCTGGAGAAGCTTCACTGCAAACATGAAAGTTGGCTCCAGCATAGGACACTGCGGTAGGGTTTGTTGAATGGTTCCTTAAGGGTGGATAAATCTTCGTAAGGGTGTTCCATAATGCTTTTTCCACCAGTGAAACTCCAGTTTTTCTTATGATTTGTAAAGCTAAACTCCAGGAACATTTCTATAATATTTCTATCAGTGCTAATGTATCCCAGGAGCCACACTGTAAATTCAGAACTCCTGGCTGTAATTTAGAGATGCAGTTCTTTTCGTGTGTTTCTCAACAATGGAAATGCTGGCAGGGACTTGGCTGCTGTCTGCTCTATTTTCAGCTACTAATATTTGCTTTGTTCCTCTCCCAATACAGAACAGATTTTGACTATCTACAGAAAATTCCAATTTTGACGCTAGATGTTAATGAAGATTTCAAAGGCAAAAAGGACAGATACGACCACATGATCGAAAAGGTAAAATTTCACAAATGGTTTAGGTTACTCTAATTACACTTCACTGTCCAATCATCCTTCTAAAATATTAGAGTCATAGAGTTACATGCAGGTAAGGAACAGTCTTGTAGCCTGCTGCAAAGCTTACTTTAAACCCAGGCCAAACCTTCAACATTTAACTGCTCAGGTATTTGGTATTTGAATCCCTTTGGGATTCCAGCGAGGACAACTTGCCTTTTATCTGAGCAGTTGCAATGACTTACAGACCTCAGCAGTGGGACACACAACTTCTTCTGCTCTGTGGAAATAAACTATTACCTCACGAGCAAAGCAGCTTGGTCCTTTGATCTCTGCTGATCCACCCCCAAGTGGAACTGTTCACCTGATTAAAACCAGTCTTCCTGGTCAGGCTTGTTAATCGATGGAATGACAGGACGTGGCAGCTGTGGGGGGCACATGCTTCCCACTGCACAGGATGAGATGAGGCTCGGGAGACTAAATACGGATTTTGGAGGAGTTTATTCTGGTGTAGCTGGCAGGTTATCTGGGAATAGCCTAAGCCCTGTGTGGGCCCTTTTTCTGGCATTTCCTAAGTGGAGCCCCAGAACTGCTGCACTCGATGAGCTGTGCTGTGGGCTTTAGTGTGTGCTGATGTCCCACAGAAACCCAGAACCTGTGTGCTTCCTTGCCTCATCTGGAAACTCTGCCTGGTGTGTAAATGCAGACAAGGTTCTCCAAGTGGGATTGCTGGTGCCACTCTCTAAAGTGGAGGGTGGCTTTCTGGTGATTCCTTTCAAGTTGCAGTCTTGGCACAGTTATTTGTTCTCTTCTGTACAGGAAGGGATTTGACCTCTTTTTTTTTTTTTAATCCCATGTCCATGAGCCCTGACCTGGGAAGGGAAGGGTCACAGTTGGAGAGTGTGGTCCAAGATCCGTTTCCATTTCTCATCAAGAATTTGGACAAAACGTTTACAGATGGGCTCTGTGTAGGAGAGCCTCTGCCAAAAGAGTCACACTGGTTCTCTAGTAACTGGTCTGTTCCTTTCTGTGGAGTAGCCTGGCTGGAGTGGGCAGAAAGGAGAATGCCCCCAGTTCAGGCTGTATCACAGCCTAGTTGCTAGGATGCTCCTGACACTTAAAGGCAGCAGTTGTGAGCCTGGTGTTGATGTGCAGTATCGTTGTTTTTCCAAGCACTGTGGTTTCAGTAGGTATTGCTTTATTATTTCTTTGCCAGCCTCATTCCAGGGAACATCCTGATTAGGTGCCCTGAGTTGTTCACTGGCATTAAATCCCAACGGTGTCCTGGCAGTGGGCGTGACTCAGTGGTTTCCAAATGACAGCTGTTTTGAGGTGGTCATTATCCTCCTCGTGTTTGGGTTACACCTGCTTTTAAAGTAACTCCTTTGTGACTGTGGGCTGCAGTTCAGGACCGTGGGAGGACTGAGCACCATTCCAGTGTGTCTCTCCCTGCACTTGCTAAATTACAGGTACCACGTCTGGGAACGTTCTTGATGGACAGGTAATGGCATGGCCAAGCCCAAGATCCTTTTTCCTTGTTTCTTTAGGTTGTGGTAAAGCATAAAGCAGCGGAGAGGCAAACAGAGTTGCTGTCTATTTCTGTTGATAAACACTTAGTGTGATTGACAATATTTGTTTCTTTTTGCAGGTCAAAGAATTTTTGAGCACATTATAATCCTCTTTGAAGTGCAGACAGAGCCAAACCATTCCAAACATCTGTGCGATCAAAGTCTCAAGTGCAGCTTCTGCTTTTATAGGGGGCCTCTGGAGAGGCAGGACTCAATCCTGGTGATTTGACTGTGAGGAACAAATAAACTTTGTGAATAGGGAAATTACTAAATAAATCAGTATGTCTGTTCAGTATTGTGTTAAGTAACACACACAGATTCTGAAGAGACAAGGATTCTGAGCGTTCCCAAATATTGCACCAGTTTTTGATCAGACTGATGAGTTCTAGAGTATTTTATAGATTTTTTAAATTAATTTTTTATCCAGTTGCTATTTAATTTTTGAGAAGGTAGTGGTTTTTTAAATCTTTTCAATGTTTTTTAGTGGCATTGATTTGTAATGGATGTCTTGTTCTGAAGAAGGAAAAAGTGAAAACCATTTTTGCTGCTAAGGGAATTGCAATGTAACCTGGAGTTTTATATTTTAAGGTACCAAATATGTCATCTGATGATTTTGGTAGATGAAGTTCTTCACAGAATACATGAATTAAATGCAAATAAGGCTGACATTCTGTAGCTGTCAAATGAGATTTTATATTTGTTTTCAATATGCACTGCCAACTAGGATATTCAGAGGCTTTCTGTTTTCTAGCATGTTTGTTTGTTGGGTTTTTTTACCCTTTCTTTAAAGCTTTTATTAAAACAGCTGTTTTTGTTGTTGATAAATCCTCTTCTCCTGGAGAGGAATATGTTTGCTTGCTGGGTACCGTAATAGGAAGAAGAACATTTTCCAAATGGCCTCCATCTGTAAATGATGTGTTTAGAAGCCATCCCATGATCGCATTTGGGATGTCAGAGGTTGCTTCCTGCCTTTGTTCCAGCTGCTCCATGTGTTTCCTGGGCCTTCTGGGTGCTTATATCAGATCCTGCACTATTTGAAGTAGGCTGTCCTGTCTCAACTGCTTCGAGTCAGAAGGGGACACCTGTGTGGAGTGGCTGCTGCTCCTTCTTGTATTAACTGAGCCTCTTGTTGCAGGTGCAGAAAACACAAACTTGTCAGGGTGCACATCTCACGTGTTGGGTTTTATGAGCTGCTTTGTTCTGCTTTAAACGTTTCTGAGTGCACAGCTGGCTTTTGAAGGCAAAATTGTATTGCAAAGCATTTTATTGTCTACCTTGGTGCCGCTGTTACCCGCTGGTTGGAGATGAGATTTCTTCCTTTGTGGCTGCAATTGTGCTGGCATTCTCTAACCATTGGCTGAAAAATAAAAGTGGTTGGAAAGACTTTTTCAGTGCCTAATGCTGTTGGGTCTCTTGTCTCATAAAAGAAGTAATATTGTGGATTGCTGGTATGTAATACTGGTACAATGGATTGACTTGAAGGTTGTGGATTCTTGGTGAATGTGATGTAAAAAGTTACCTAAGATTTCTGAGAAACTGACTGGCTTCATTTTTTTTTTTCATGTGTGGGAAATGAACTTATGGGGGGTAGAGACACAGGATTACATAAACTGCATCATATGTGTAACAGTGCTCAGTACAAGTGTGTTGTATAACATTCGTATTGTGGTGGAAAGTAGAAGGAGTCTGGCAGAAAATCTTGTGTGAGACTTGAAGGTTGCCCAGTGAAAGGAAAGATTTTAAGATCTTTGCTCCAGAAAGGAAGTGAAGTGGAATGGATGAAGATTCAGTTCAGATTTACTTGAAACACATAGTAGAAGCTTTTAAAATGTTCTCGGCAAGAGTCTGAACAGTAACAACTTATTTTGACTAACAGTGCAATTATTCCTACAGTTTCAGCTGTCAAAATTGTGGATTTAATTACAGGAATTGGAATGACAGTGCTCGTTGCAAGAAAGTAAACATGTCTGAGTTCTAATAAAGGCTTCTTTTGAAACCCATCACAGAGAGCACACAGAAATTCTGTGGCAGGTTATCTGCAGCCTGTTCCAGAAAGCTTTACAAAATCTCTGCCTGCCAAGTTTGGGTTGGAAGGAGCGAAGTCATGACCAATTATTAGAATGTTTTTAATTGGTGTGCAGAAAAAAACAATACCAAACCCCAAACACACACCCCACTGGCCCCCGAGCTTCTGGGGGCTCTGGAAGTGGCCAGGCTGGAGCACACGGAGCTGTATGTAGGACACACAGCACCAGGGATGGCCTGAGACTCAGCTTAAACCTCAGCTCCAACAGTGCCTCAGCCTTCTGAATCTGTCAGTATTTCCTTGGCTTAAATCTATTCCTAGGCTTCCACGAACCAGGATTGTTCTGTTGGGTTTTGCCTATTAGAGATGCGAAAATTTTCTGCCCTGGTGTCTGCTGTTTGGGTGAGGATGGTTTTTCAGCCTCTGGGTCTTGTGTCCCTTCCTCTTCCCTTGGGTGAGAGATACTCCAATGGAATTGCCTAGGAATGCTTGCTTGTTTTAATTAAGTGGGTTTCTTCCAGTTAGGATGCAGATTAAATGACTGATTAGTACTGTTTTAATTGTGATGCAAGTACCTGGGTGAGCAGTGGTCTTTATATTGCCTTGTTTTATTCTCGGTCCTTGTGGTTGTTTTCTATGTAGTGCATTTTAAGTTCTCTTCATAGAAACACTTCTTAGAACAGCAACCAATTTTATAGGTAGAACCTAATTTTCTATAATTTTGTGTCAGTTACTTGTACTGTTTTCTGTTTACTTAAGCAGACTTCATAGTAATGGGATTGTACATAAAATGTGATTAGTATTGAGAGGATCTTGTTCTTTTTCCAGTAATTAGGCACTGAGGAGTCTCTTTGTGAAGTAAAGTGACCCAGGAGAAACTCTCCATAAACTATTAAGCATAGACCAAGGAAGTCTGTATGTATGTGCAGTAATTAAGAATATCTTATCAAAAACCATTGTGCAAGTGCTTGTGCCAAGGGGTTTCGGCATAGCCAGGTATAGGGGCTCCCAGGTGATTTTTTCCCAGCTCCCATTTAGACTCTCTGCGTGACCACGAGTAAATAAATCACTCTTTGCCTCAGTCTTTTCATCTTTAAAATATTGATACCTCCCCATGCCTTCAGGAGGCTGGGAGGATGCGCTAGTTAATATTGATGTGCTCTTTTGTAGGTCTGAAGTGCTCTGTTAAATAATTGAGGGGGAAGGCAGCCCTGGTTTTATTTTTTTTTCTCTGGGATGTTTGGATGCCCCTGGCCCAGATTCATGGCCAACACAACTTATTTATTTGTTTAAAAGATATTAAAAGCCATCAGTGCAACGTTGGCTGTATTGAAGTTAGTTTGCTGAAAAGTACAGCCACTGAAAACACCGTCTGTGAGGAGAGGAAACTTAGGAGTAGTTGGATCTTGAAATAAAGACTGATGGCAAAAGCTGTGCTGCAGTCCCTGTAGCTATAGAGGCAACGGGGAGATCTGTGCCGGAATCTGCCACAGGAGGTCATGGTGTCCCTGGGTCTCACTCGCTGGGCTGGCTGCGAGAGGAGCATTAGGGCTTTAACAGTGAATGGCTTTGGAAAAGGTAAAGAAGGAAGAGGTCACTTCCTCTCTGGGCCACAGCAAAAACATAAAACTGATGAATAAATACTCTACTGAAGGAGATAAATCTTGCTGTGGGGAGGGAGGGAGGGGAATAAAGCAAACCCCGCTGGATTAAGTGAATGACTAGAAAAGGCTGAGTTAATGGGAGGGGTTTGGTCAGCAGAAGGTCTTCCGTGCAGCCACCAGCTGTTTGTGTGCTGTGAGTGAATATTAGCGCATGGATAACACTAATCCTGGGGTGTCTGAGCCGTGGCAGCCTTTAGCTCTGAGCTATCCGGCCCAGACACAGCCCTGAGCAGTGCTGGGAAGGGAAGCACTGAGCAGTTCTGCTGCATGAGGCCCTGCACAGCACTGCATGTGCCAAATGAACCTGAACTGGGGATGCTGGTTCAAAGCCACTAGTGACGAGGAGTGTGGATTCCACACCGGGAGTAAGCAGTGAAGGGCTTTATTTTCCCTTAGGTTGGTATAATGTAATGCTCAGAGCCCAAATTGGAGGCTGTGGTGTGCAGGTGACTTTTGTTCTTGGGTCTAAGTTTCAGTCCATGGTATAGGGAACACGAGAGCAGTGTAAATAAGAACATGGTGCATGGTAAATGAGAGTGCAGGCTATATTACCTGTTCATTGGATTTCTGCTGACTGCTCTTCCCAATGTCCTGGGCAGGCTGGACATTCCATATACCTATCTCCAGGATGTCAAGGTTGTGCAGCTTGCACCACGGATGTTTGCTGGCTCATAGTACTGACTGGCTTGGAAAAAGGCAGTTGGTTCCTGAGGGTTATTTACAAAGATGATGCCACTGCAGCTCTTTCAGAGGACATGCTGTGCTTTCTCCTGTCCTGCGTTTTGTGCTTCTCTCTCTGATTTCCTTCTGAGCTGTTGTGAGTTGTCTTTTAGTAACTGCTAAAACCACAATCTTGTACAAGTCATAACAGACGTGTTAAAGCCAGTGTTTAACTTGGATGCAGCCTCCCTGAGGATGTGGCTTCTGCCCTGTTCTACCTGGGTGTCTTAGGTGTTCTACTCCTTTTTTCCAAGCAGTTCTGCTGAGTTAGCCCACCTGATTGCTGGGGCTCTTCCTAACTCCCCCTGGTTTCAGCTCTGTCCATGGATGTGCGTTGACAATGTGCCCTTTTTGTCATAATTCCCCCCAGATTTGCCTCCTCTGGTTTGTTAAAACGATGGCTGTTGCTCCCTGCTGAGCCTCCCCTGCACCTGTGGCACGTGTGGCGTTGTCCTCGCTGTGGCTCGTGGCCTTTACCCCGACCCCTCAGCCCAGCACAGTGGCCTCAGGTCATTGACTGGCTTGTTGGTCAGTCACCTGGGTCCTGTCCGAGCTGCGCCTCGTGAGGAGAACGCCCGCGCTCACAGAAAGCAGGACCTGACTCCTTAGGTATCACCCCTGAGCTGCAACGCTGCTGCTTTCCTCGGGCTTTCCTGCAATGGTCCAGCATAGTCGGGTAGGTGTTCCAGGTGCTCTGGTCCTTGCCAAAGTTTCTGTGTGTTGTGACACGGGAATATAGCTCAGTTTTGTGGAACTGAGCAGTTTTAGGTCTTGGAGAGTGAACTGAGGTTCCTTGAGGCTGAGAGCTCTCCTTTTCTCAGGTACTCTCCATTGTCAGTGTGCCTTGTGCTGCTGTGTGTGTAAGTGCTGAGATGCTATGGCATGGTACATTCTAGAGATTAATTCTTACTGTGCTTGCCAAATCTCATGGCTGTATCACCACTTAAACTTGGGTGATACACATTTGCTGTTCTTTAACTCATGTAAGTAATGGCTTTTGGTGAGATCTGTTAATGACTTGCAGTTAATGACCTCTGCCTGCAGTGGGGCTGATGGAATTTGTCCATGCCGGAGCTGAGTCATTAGCTCTTCCCATCTAAAAGTTTCCTTTCCTCTGAAGGTTGCTCACCCATGATACACTCCAAGTGATAATGCATCTTGCTTTTATGTTTTATTGACGGTCTGCACTTGCCCGTTGCTCTCAGATGAGGACACCTCCAGCATCTGGTTGCACTGTTGGCTTTCAATACTGCTGTTAGCATTGCTGCTGGGATCGCCGGTACAATCCAGCTGGAATCATATCGGCAGGAGGTCAGAAAGCTTTGCTGAAAGTGTAACAAATTGTGTTTGCTTGTTGTGGAACACACACTGAAGGTGTCCGGATCTTTCGAAGCACTTCTGCTGTACCCTCCTTTTAGCCACTTTCGTCAGGAATTTTCTGTGTCTCTGCTTTTGTTGTGCTGCCTGTGAGGGTTTTTTGTTTGTCTGTTCTACTCCGCTTGTCTCTAGTGCTGGAATATAACCCAGTTCTCCCTCCTCCTCTGTTGTGCCACTTCCTATGGGCTGAACCTTTGCATTTCATTTCCCTACACTGGCACGTACGTTGGATGGGAACACCTGCACTGTGCTGTCACTTCACCTCCTCAGCTCCAAGCCTGGGTATTTAGGCTAAAGTACTGGCTGTTCCCATCCTGATCCTTGCCTCGGATAGCTGTAGTTGTTTTAGGTCTTGGAAGACATTTCTGTAGGGGATCGGATCTGTCCTATGACATTTCCTGCTGGCTGGAATAAGATATCCCTTGAATGATCTTTGCTTTCACTAGGAAGTACTTAAAGTCTTGAAATTCAATGTAGACACCAGAATTCTCAGCCTCTTAATGTAAGTACTGATTTTCACTTCTTCTTGGTTTCAGGATGTTATGTTTGGTGATTTTTGTTTGGTTTTGGACAGTGCAACCCCACAAACCTTTCAG